TCTCATTGTGGGGCCACAGTGCTAACTAAAGTTTAAACCACAATGAGTAACAGATAAATTGGGTGGGGGGACCAATTAATTCAATCCAACTTTTTAGATACGAAGGCACTCCAATGATTACCATCAACATATTTATCCACATATCACGATGGACAAGGATCCAACCACCATAGAATTCTCTTACAACAATATCTGTAAGCGAATTCTCTAGGAAACATTTTCCAAAATTGAAAGTGAAAGGGAATAAATGACCATAAATGAAGGAAGAGGAGCCTTTTTCTTTTCCTGTTGTGTTAACTTGGTACCCAATAGGATGAAACCCAAGCCATCATGCTGCAGCAACCCGCCACCTTGACCACTTGTGCCTTGGCCCTGTTCCTGCCTGGTTTCAATTTCTTCTGTCATTGAGTTCTACACAATCCAAATTTCTTTCCCTTTAACATCCAATACCTAACAATCCAAGAGCAATGAGGTCCCAAATATCTTAAAATTTGTGATCCGCTTCTATGTTGAGGTCAATGGAAAAATTGATTACCTAGGAAAGGGTCACAATAAAAACTGAAACAAGTAGGTGGAAGAACCAAAATAACCAAAAGAAACACCTTAATTAAACAAACATCTCAATTGCAGCAGGCAATATACGGAATTTCCTTGGAAGACACCCTAAATGCTCTCCATCAGACTGAATATAGATTCCACCACTCTGCACAACTTCCTCCACCTCAATTGATCGAACACTGCAAGTGATCACCATTGCACACGTAAACCAAACATGCACAGAAAAGAGAGAGTAATCTCACCAACTGAATAAAAAGAGAGAGAAGGCAACCACAAGATGTGGAAAACTAGATATTCTTCTTCATAATTCATTAGAAACTATATTGTGCTCGAGTTTGTTGCCTTCTTTTCTTCAACTACCTCACCCTACTAGTCTGGCCAACACAGAATTGAAACATTACATAACTGGCCCTCTAGACCAATCCAATGTTAATCAGTTGGATCATATGATGACCTTCCTCCCTGTTAAGCACTGATAAATCATGCTCATGTACAGTACATTAAGTTCGTTTCAAGGGTTATTCATGACTATGAAATGCATGAAATTCGGGGGCTTCACATCAATAACAGATATAGCTGGCATGGAAAAACTTGTGGGAATCTAAAGAAACGAGGAATCACTTTTGACCACATCATCCCATATCTCAAAGCTATGAAGAAAGAACCCTATATTCAATTTTCTTTTTTTTAAAGTCTCACTTATCTATGGAAAATTTCCAGGACAAGCTGAATTGCACATCCTTGAAGCCATAACAAGCTATATATGGTGCGATCGATTCTAGAGAGTATCACCTTTGAATCTCCACCCACAATCATCAAATGTTTGGTTAGAACCCAGGGTCATCCCTTCAGCTTTTGGCACATGGTTGCATAGGGCAGATATATGTAAATTTTTAGAATTTCTAGCTCTGAATAATTTTTAGCCATAATTACATCCATAATTACATCATATTTACCCATTTTGACCGAAAAGCCAGCAATTCGAATGCACTTTTTTTCTACCAGGATGATTAGGTAACTGCTCTGATATGTGATTATTGGTGTTATTCAAGTAGTAACGATCATGCTGTACAATTATTCCGTCGTTTTTAGGATCGTTTAACATTTCATATTTTATCTTCAGAAAAGATACTTGGGGAGTGTATTGATTGTATTGCACTTGAACCGGCTTCATATATGCCTATTAGCGCTGAGTAAGTCAGGTAGAAAAATTGGTATGTCAACTCCTAAATTATTGAACAAAACGTCAACATGCAAAAGCAGTAAATTGCTATACAAATTAATAATTATTACACCTGTTATTTAGGCAATCAGATAGTTGAACTTGTTGCAAATGTTAGTGGCATACAACAAATTCAACCATATCACATAATGAGGGTATTTTACAAGTATCAAATGAAGGACAAAGAATATGAGGGTATTTTACAAGTATGAATGAAGGACAAAGAATATTAGTAATGTTCTTCAGACAAGCCACTTGTTTCATAACTTTTTTTTTGATGAAACACTTGTTTCATAACTGCATATATCACATTGATAGTTCCAAGTACAATTCTTGATTGTGTAATTCCAATGGACAGGAAATCCAATATGAACATACATTTGAATATTTGACTGGATGTAAAACTTATATCACTGAAACATCCATCAAACAATGGGGTTTAACTTTAGGGGCACCCCCCTTTCAAGCAGCATGCATGCAAGAAAGAAGAATTCAAAGTACAAAATAGAAACCCCAAACATTAAAATTAAAGTGTTATCTAGAGCTACAGTTCTGCATAATGATTTTTTTTTAGAATTACTGACAGAAATTAAAATATGCACCATAAAGACATGCATAATGCTAGATCGTCAACATCTTGAACCATCTTGTTAAGGACAATTCAGCACTAATATTTCAATATGTTGGTAGTTCTCAAACAAGAAATCAGTAAACCTTGACCACAAGAAAATTACCTTCTTAAACATATATTTTTCTCTGATAGATGTGTCCCTCTATACAATTTGTGCAGCTTAAGAATGAAGTCATACCATTTGAAATTTTGCAGGATCACAGCCTGGTATCATCGCATAATGCAAATTTCAGGATTATAAATAAGGGGAAAATGAATCACATGCAAATTATGCTATTCACACAAAACCATTTCAGAATCCCAGGTGTAAACATCAAAAAATGCAAAGAAAAAGGAATTGTACAGTACGAAATTGCAGATATCTGTTACTAAAAACAACCGCCAGTCAAGCGACCACATGTTGATTCCACTAGAGTTTGCCTCCAGTGAGAACTGCTTCTGTTCATAGGTGTGCAGAGACACTAAACAATTTACCTTGATAACTCCATTCCCAGAGATGAGGGTTATGTTTGGGTCCCTCAATTTTGAGGTACTTTGGTCATTCCTCCACTAAAAAGGAATGGGAAAAGATTGGGGGTTAAGAGATTCCTTGATATACAATATGTTTGTGGGCATTAGAGATTCCTTGATATACAATATGTTTGTGGGTATACTTATTTGAAAATTTCTGCCTGAAAAGCCAGGCACTCGTCAATGATGCAAACTTAGGAGTTCCATTGAAGTAACCAAATATTGCCCAGATCATCTCTCTTTACTAACATTGTTGTAGATCAATAAAAAGCCATGGTTTTGTACTAATTCAAAATAAATAAATAAAAGGTTTTGTACACTTTGGTTCATGTACCTCAGCAGCAGATGGCTAATATCAACCATTCCTCAGACATGAAAGGAGGAAGGATTGACAAATGTCATCAGTTATTGAGATCAAAGCGCTAATGTTGCATATGAACGGAGTGATACAAGTATTATGATAGTCTTTCCCAACATAAAAATTAAAAGCCATGGTCCAGTATCATAGCTAGTCTCACCTCAAGACTTCCACTGTGAGGGTCAGCTGTTGGGGTGATCATCATACCACCACCAAAGAATTTGGCATTTCCAATGCAGAGAGCTGTCACTTGAGGAAATATTTCCCAGTCACCATCATTGATCTTGAGCATGGGATATACAGAGAGGAATGACGTCAGTATAATACCATCCTTAACTCTCTGCCTATAATAAGCACGAACTTTTGGAGACACTTACCTTGATCTTAAGATCCTGATTACTGTGCCCCATAAAGGCTCTCAAAGCACCTATAACATAACACAAGTTTCCAAATCTTTTATACATGGAAGCATAATATCCTGCCTTCGCACTCCTGCAGACTTCCACAAAATAGACAAGTTACGTCTAGACCCTAGGGATCTGCATGTGAAACTCAAGCAACCCGAATATGGAAAGTACACGTGCGTGTGAATAAAATTTCCATATAACAAAAAGCTTCCTTACAGGTGTATATCAGCAACATTTATAAAATAATGAGCTCCATTGCTCTTATCTGTGATAACACCAACATCAATCCTGCTCTTCTGTCCTGTTGCAATAGTGACAGTATTAACCTCTTGCTTATAAGATATAAAAAATGGAATTTGAAATAGGCTACATACAATCTACAATTAAAACAAATATTACATGCTTCCTCATAAATATTCCCCTAGGAAACTTCTCTACAACATGCTTTAAGAATCAGAAAGTAGCGAGGCACAGAAACCTTTAACGATCCGATTGATTGCTTCATATGGATCATTTTTCCTGATAAAACAAGGGAAAAGGACGAGTTTCTCATTCAATCAAGAAGATACAGAATTAAGTCCTTTAAAGTTCAAATAAATCAAATGGAGCCAGATGAGAATAGCAACCACCAACCAGCCAAATGATCTGGCAAAATCAGATCCTGTTCCTAGCGGAATAAGCTGTAAAAATAGAAGAGAGGAATCAGAGGTCTCTTACAGAGTGAAATACCAATAGCAGATCACATGCATGATGCCAGGATTTCTTTAAAATTAAATACGAAGATACAGAAAGCCAGAATACTGCTAATGGTCTTAGCATCAAATGTTAAGATTACAGGGTTAAGTACTCTTAATATCTTACACCAAGTGCAGTTGTTGCATGTGTGCCACCTTGATTATGAGCGAGTACAGGATTTCCTGCCCAGAAGAAGCCATTCACAACCTAAAAATCCAAGAGCCATTCAATTAGTGAAATAAAGCAATTCAGTTCTATATGGAGCAAATATGCATAAAGCTACATGCAAATCATGCAGAAAGAGACCAGTTATATAGGAAACCGAAAGGGAAAACTTCTTGCCACACCAACTCCATTGACATGTGTTGGGAGATCTTTAGAACGACAGTCCTGGGATTGCCAGAAAATTTCCAGAACAGGCTAGAAATCGGCCAAGTTGTCATATTGCCATCCATTTTCATTTTATTTATATATCTGTAACAACTAAAGAGCAAAAGAGTAAAAGAAATGATGGTATAAGATAATTATGTCACGATTTTCCAAGATCTATCAATGGAAGAAATTGCACCACTCTGCTTGCAGCTTCTTAATCATGTTCACCTATGTTGTCTAGCATTAAGGGACACCTTGTAGAAGCTTAAATGAATGTTGAAAGCTTGATGAGTAGCACAAAAATTATGTGATCCTCCTAGATTAGGTACCAGAAAAAGAAGCCCACAAGGGTCTACAATAAAGACACTCTTTGTTTACAATATGCAGCAGACTTGATTTACAACAAAACAAGCTTCTCACCTCATGAAGAGTTCCGTCACCTCCAACTGCTATCACAGCATCAGCTCCCTGTTTTATGGCCTAAATAAAAATAATAGTCATGCATATATACCAGAGCTCATGTCAAACTGATGTCCAAAACAAATATATGGATGACTTTCTTATCCCAACATACAAAGATAAAACCATTATGAGAAAAAAGAAACAGAGTGAGATAAAGGAGAATAATGTACCTCCCTCGTAATGTCAATAGCATAAGAGGGGCCAGAAGTTAAAGACTCACGTATCTGACCAAAGCAAGGACAAGTAAGGTCTAGATGAATACTTGTACTATGGTTACTAAAGAAGCTGGCTAGTAACGAAAAATAATCTAATCTGGCTAGTCATGAAAAAGAATCTAATTTTATTTTTTCTGATCGATAGACATGAAGACAAAAGTAAACATCAAATAATAAAATTCCAATTAAGTATCAGCAAAAACTAGAGGAATCTGATAGAAATCAAATTGTCTCAGAAATATTTTGAAGGCATAAAGCTTTGAGCTTTTCATGCAGAACAAAAGAGCTTTGCGCCTTTCATGAATTAAGGGAAAACATTTCATCCACCCTTGCGCAGACAGCTACATTGGTCCTCTCCCCACAATTTGGGGATGACAGAACGTATTCACTGCATTTTCTCTCTCCTAAAAAAAAGGCATTTTCCAGGGTTGGTTCTCCAAAAATATTTTCACGATCTTCTTTGCCTAAACCAATAGGATGTGTGCATCAAATTTTAGGGTCAACAAATGCCCTTCAAGCCCCCAAATGGGGGAGCACATATAGTGTTCCAGTCTGCCCCAAAGTTTTCAGTTGAGAGCAAATGCAAAAAAGGACCATCTATTCAGATGAAATTCGCCATGTGGGACTCATCAAGCTGCTCACATGAGATCCACATATTAAATTAGCAAGTCTCATTAATTTAATTGTTAATCTTGATCCTAAAAGCCAAAAATCAGGAATGGTTGTGTTACATGAGTAACAGTTTTTCAAAAAGCGCTAAGCGGGTCCTAGGCAGCCTGGGGAGTCCAGGCCGCACAGCGCCTAGGCAGGCGCCCAAGTGGGCACCTAGAACCTGGGCAGCCTAGTTGAAATAAAATAGGATTCTATAGTCTCTAACATTATATATATTATATAAAATATAAGAATTAAGTATTTATGACACATCAAAATTCAAAAGTATACTACATATTAGCACACACTCCATAAAGCATAACCATAAGTCGGTCCATACCCAATTAAAACTTAAAATTTACCAACCAAATTACCAAACCAAACCAATGGAACTACAAATTCACTATCCACAATACACAACCAAGAGGAAGAAAACAAAAATGAAACTAATACTTGAAGACTCAAAAGAATCTCCAATCAATGTTCAAAGTTTAATCATCATTCATTATTCATCATCAGAAAAAGTAGGGTCAGCTGCATTTGCATCATATGCATCGGTGTCGTCACCCTCCCCGACATATTGGTCGTCCTCCTCCGTCTCTTCTGAATATGCCTCTTCCTCCACCCCTCGTCCTCTGTGCAGAAGATCTAGTGGCCCTTGGAGGTCGGCTGTTGAAGCATCCATGACCATGACCATGTCTCATGTCAATCCTTCATGCCCCTCGACCTCATCATCATCAACCAACCACTCCATAGCATTGTCCATATTTTTTAATCTGCATTGTCTATGACGACCTGTACAACAAGATGCTCCCCAACCTCCTTATTCCCTTCTCTACAACTTAGAATATGTAATGGGCATCATGATATAATCAAATGCATCAATAGACCTAAAAAAAAACAGTCCCTAAAAAGCAATTCACAAGCAAATTTAACATCATGATATAATCAAATGCATCAATAGACCTCAAAAAAAACAGTCCCTAAAAGGCAATTCACAAGCAAATTTATCTGACTTCTTCTCTTCCTATCACTCATAATAGAAACTCCATACTGAGCCCATGCCTCCTTAACTTCTACAGCATCCTTCGTGACGCTCACCACTTTTTTCAAAAGAGGCTCTGAAAAGCTCATATGGGGTTGGGTTTTCATCCCAGACCCAAATTAGCCAATTGCCTCAACCAAGGCATAGAAGCTGCTTAGGCGAGCGGTATTGAATGGAATGCTCGGCTCATAAAACCATGTAGCAATAAAAAAAGCAGCTCTATCTCTCTCTTCCTTTGTCATTATATTTTCAACAGTGGTTTGCTTCTTTGTTTTCTCTCCTGCAACCTCAGGGTCAGGCCAAGGCAAAAAATTATCCATAGGGCTTCTAATCCGAAGCTTCTTATTCTCAGAACCAGAAGCAATTACAACCTCCTTTCCCTTCCCCCTAATAATGGATTGTTCTGCCTCTTGACATCTCTCCCCATCCTCATCACTATCATCATCATCATCATCATAACTGACCCGAACCCCAAACCTAATCTCTACTGTGGAGGCCAATTTCTCATCTTTTTTCATTTTTACCATACTCAAAAAATTGGTAATTCTTACAAAAGGGGCCATCAAGAGTCTTTTTACATGGGGCAACATCCCCCTTGATACCGGTAAGATGTTTCTTGAACCGGTTTATGCCCCCTTTTGTATCCTTATCACAAAACTTGCATCCTATGCAATTTTTATCATTAGGATCTGGATTGTAGCCATATTTCCAATCGGGATCACCACTCCTATTAGATCCCAAAGAAGAGATCTCAAAATAATACAACTTATACAAGCAATAAAAAAAATCACTTACTTTGATTGCTCAATGTCCAAACTTTCACCTCAAAGATGCTTTTAAGGACTCAAAATCTTTTAAAAAACCCTCTAATAGATTTATAAAACATCACAAATTAAATCTAATATCAATGGGTGTTTTGATCAATTTCTCATAGTGTTCAAAAAAGTGGACCGCCCAGCGCCTGCGTGGTCCAGAAGGCCTGGACACATCGCCCAAGCCTAGGCCACCAAACTGGGCGATAGTCCTTGGGCGGCCGCCTAGGCGATCATATTGATTTTTTTTTAAACATAAAGGGATTTAAGGATGGGTTTTAGATTCATTTGAAACCTAAACACCCAATAACCCATTTTAGAGAGAAAGCAACCTCAAGAAAACTAAATTTTGTGATTTTCATTGGATCGAAGTGTTTCTCAAAGTTACGAAAAACGGATCCAAACATCACCTAAGTAGATTTGATTTAGTTTTGGAGTTTTATAATCCTATTAGATAGTGTTTTTTATTATTTTAGCACTAGAAACCATCTCAGAAGTGGGCGTTTGGAGTTCGAGCCATCAAAGTAAGTGAAAAAATTTATTTTTTAGATTGCTTGTTTTATTTTGAGATGTCTTCTTCAGGATCTAGTCGAACTGTAGAGCCGGGTTGGAAATATGGATACAACCCGAATCCAAATGACAAAAATTGCATTAGTTGCAATTTTTGTGAAAAAGATACAAAATGGAGTATAAACCGGTTTAAGAAACATCTTGACGGTATTAAGAGGGATGTTACCCCTTATAAAAATGTTCTTGAAGCTATCATAGAGGAGATTAAGAAATATATGAGTCCTGTAAAACAAAAACAAGAACCAAATCCTTGTCATTTGAATAGGTCTATTTCTGTTACTTTTAGAAGAAGTGATCTGAGTTGGAAGTAAGGTTATAACCCAAAACCAAACGATAGAAATTGTTTAAGGTGTAATTTTTGTGACAAAGATACCCATGGGGGTATTAACCGATTCAAGAAACATCTTGTCAGTATTAAAATGAATATTGCTTCTTGTAAAAAAGTTCCTGAAGCTAGTCGGGATGAGATTAGACAACTTCTGAATTTAAAAGAACCAAAAAATAATGAAATTGAGGCTTGTTCTGTGGAAATATCTTCTCCAGGTTCTTCTAGAAGTGGTGATCCGGGTTGGAAGTATTGTTATAACCCGAATCCAAATGACAAAAATCATATTAAATATAATTATTGTGGAAAGGATACTAATGAGGGCATTTATCGGTTTAAAAAACACCTTGCCGATATTAAGGGGGATATTGCCCGGTGTAAAAATGTTCCTGAAGCTACCAGGGAGGAAATTATACAATATTTGAGTTCAAGGAAGCACAAAAAGATAGAAAAGTGTAGAGCAGCCAAGACTCCTAGGGCCTCATCTGCACATACTAGCAAGAGGGAGGTAGAAGAAGAGGAAGATGAAGAAGCAGATTCAGAAGAAACTGAGGAAGACGAGCGTTATATTGAAGAGGGAGATGACTCTGATAGTGATGGCCTCAATTCTGATGCATATGGTGAAGCTTACCCTATTCCTTCTAATGATGAAGATGATGATGATGATGATGATGATGATGATGACTGAAGAGTGAAGACTCTTGGTGTTGACTGTTGACTGTTATGTTGAGTGTTGACTATTGTGTCATAGACTGTATATTTTCTGAATTTCTGTATATTTTCTTTTTCTTATTTTTAGTTTCTACTTTATAGTTTCTAGTTCTACTATCTAACTTTTGTGTGTACAGTCTACAGTGTATCAGAGTATTAGTGTATGCTTGTATGGTTTTATTGTTTTAGCATTGTATGAAAATATGGATTATGGTCTTATGAATTATCAAAATTCTCTTCTCAACTTCTATCTTCTTTTTTTTAACTGGGATTATAGTCTTATGGATTATCAAAATTCTTATGGATTATGGCCTTATGGATTATCAAAATTCTTATGGATTAATCATTATTAGTCATCACTCATCAGTTTTTTTTTTTTCAATTGGGCTGCCCAGGTTCTGGCCGCCCGCCTAGGAGCTGGGGGCTTGGACCCCCATGGCCGCCTGGGTGCCGCTTATCGCTTTTTGAAACACTGATTTCTCATAACTTTGAGAAACCCTTCGATCCTAAAGAAATCACCAAAAACTAGTTTTTTGGGGGTTTTTTCTCTCTCTAAAATGGCCTCTAAAGAGTTTTTAGTTTCACATGAACCTAAACCCACATTTTTTGGCCCCTTAGTATCAAAAAAAAAACCACAAAATGCCCCTACCAAGTGGCTTTTCCACCTCTGGGCAGGGCGCAATTCCTAGGCAGCCACCTAAGGTTCCTGGGCGCCTAGGCAGCGCCCACTATTTTCTACCTTTTTTTAGCGCCTAGGCCTGGGCAATGCGCTCAGGCCCCCTGGATCGCCTAAGCGGTCGCCCAGTTGCTGGGCGGTCCGCTTTTTGAAACACTGATGAGTAATATACTCAAAGCTGCTGCCAGAGGAAAACCATCAAACTCCTTTTAATGGTAC